GTGTGTGCACGCCTGTGTGTGTTTGCGCACACGCCTGTGCGCGTTACCCCACCCTAAAAAAATTTTAAAACCACATGAATCATAATCATACTTGTTTCCTTAGAAGAAGGCCAGTCATCGTAGCTCTAATTGTATTTGATTTTGTCTTGCTTAGTTCATCATATTCTGCTGTGTTCACAGATGTGCAATCATTTTATTACTGTTTTAACATTACAGTGCATCAAGCGAAGATAATAGTCATTAGTGTTATTGCAAAGATACAGAGCCTGCAGCCGAATAGCATAGCCCTGGTGACATGTCCTTTCTCATCTTTCATAAAGGTTTTGGTCTGGAATAGTAAAGATACTGGTTTCTGTGGAGGGAGTTTAACCAGCAGTCACTGGGTGGTGGCTGCTGCACACTGCCTTGACCTTGTCAGACCACACCACGTTCCCCTAGGTGAGTACAATTTGTATACTGCATAAACATGGAGGTAATCCCTTACATAAAATACACTGTGCATTGTACACAAATACAGTAAGGTATGGTTGAGAAAGAAACAGACACATCCAACCTGATTTACAGAATGCTTCGTTTTCTTGACAACATGTAAGTGCGAAGGGGCACCAGCTGGTCGCTTTTGTTCTCATGGAGAACCTGCGAGCATAAGGCACAGATCCAGCTTTTGCTGTTGCCCATTTTGGCAAACTCATTGTGCATAGAGACTGAGCACAGCTCAAGGGTACACCTCAGAAGGAAGAAGGATCTCCCTAGGTGATGGTCTGTTCTCAAGTCAGTTTTGGCTTTTAATCAGCTTTAAGATTAGTTTCCTGCTGTGTTGCTTGCTTCTCATTGCCTGTAATTGCCTCAGAGCTGAAAGTCCCTGTCCCTTGTCATGTACTACAGCACCGGTTACAGCAGCAGGAACTGGAACCCTTTGCAACAGGAATGCTGCAATAGTCTTGTGCTTGAAACCTCCAGAAAAGAGAAACGCCAAGAGGAACAAACAGAATACAGCACTGGATAACTGACAGGAAACAATTCTTCAGCCTTATCCGTGGCCGCATCTAATGCTTATGTTATGTTCCTGAGAGGGTAAACACAAAGTCCTATGACAAACTGTTCAAAATACAGTGCTTACTAAAAAGCAGTATTTATGGTAAAATCCCTACCCAGGAGGCCATAATCTGCCAGTGGCTATTCATGTTTTGCCCTTAAGGTGCAAACTCGTAAGCTTGATCTGCAGGATCACATCTGCAGCATACGAAATTTTTAGAGCACAACTTGTTTTGGTCTGTGCCTTCTCAGGATGAAAGATCAAAGCACTAATTCACTGTCCTTCCTGTTCCCCCATTAATATTTGTACAGGCTATTTACCATTTGCTTAACATTTTAACTTGTCACAACTACAAGAGACTCTGACAAATATCAAAGACAATTCAAAGAACAGAAGATTGATGTGGAATGGAGCTGGACACATCCACATGATGATTTAAATTACTACAATGGTGACACTGCTTTGCTGTACTTGAGCAGTGATGTTATTTTTAATGTCATCCCCATCTGCCTCCCAAGCTCTAACCTTGCCACCCTGCTATCTGAGAAGGAAGAACAGGGATGGCAAGCGGATCGGGTGCCACTCACCACAGAGGGTCCACTCTGCACTTCCTCATCAAAGTCCAGCTGCCCACTGTAAACACGCAGACCTGTCAGCGGTCAACAGAGTCACTGCAGACGCCTGCAAAGGGGACAGCGGTGGCCCTTTCACAGCGTCTTACCACAACACTTGGGGATTGTAAACTGGGGTGAAGGCTGTGTAGAAAAAGGAAAAGGTGTACGTACAAGAGTATCCAACTACATCCCGTGGATTAAAGAGATTGTTGAAAGCGTAGCAGATTTGGAAAACTTTTCCATTAACTTTTCTTAATACCATCTTTAAAAGCAGGGACAATTCTGTCACTACAGTGTTTCAGTCTAAGACACGATGCAGTTCCTGTCCTTAGTGGTATAAAACCAAGATTATCTTCAACTAATTTTGAGCCTGTTTACCATGAACAGTTAAACTGTTCATTCAAGTATTACTGAGTAAAATACTTGTGTATAATAAAGAACTATTTTGCAAATAACAAGAGACAACTACCATTTTTCCTACTGTAAACTCCTATCAGCAAGGAGTTTTTTTAGAAAAAGCTTTCCATTTCTCAAGCCTACACTGCATATCACAAAAAGAGGCCACTGGCCCTCTGCATGAATTCCTTGCTTAGAAAAGAAAATGCATTTCTACTAGTCTTGTCTGTCCTCTAGATATGAAACACCATGCTGAACACAGCAGCTAGGGATCTGTGAGGTTCTGTCACCCAGTAGAACCGTTATCTCAAGTACAATTCAGTTTACTAAAATACAAATGTTTTCTGATACAAAACCTGTGTCTGTGTGGAATCATGCATTACAAACGGCACTGGATAAACTGTCTGAGGTAGAACCTGCCCAGCTGCAGCTGGAGAAACATAAAATGATTGTATGGGAGAATTCAGAAATAAATAACTACTGGAGGACTGAGGGGAGCGTGAGGAAACGCTGTCTCCCACGCCTCTGGGGACAACCCTACTTACGGTGGTGGGGAAAAGCACGAAGAGGGGCTACATGCATCCACCACACACCCCCGCCATAGCCCACCGGGCAGTGCTACAGAAATGGAACTATACAACACAGAGCTGTACAAGTAACAGAACTGACAACTTTTCAAATTTTTTTTTTCCTAAAGCCCTTTTTTCTTCATTCCGAAGGTATCCCCCACCCTCTCACACCATTTACCTCTCCCAGTTTTTGATGAAAACCAGTAATTCAGGCATGTGAACACACTTGATGGGGAAAAAGCCAACACACCACCACAGCAAGAAACAACTATTCTATCATCCTAAAACAAAAGATTGATCGTGGCCACCTAGCCATCCCTCTAAGAGGTTCATTTCCCCACACATCATAGGAAGCTTCATATACTCCAAACAAGTGCTCGATACCAAAAATGCAGGTGAAAAAAATATCTGTGGGCCAGACTAATATCCCCCAACTAATTAACCCCTCACAGTACCTGCACTGCCATGGTTGCAGAACCACCTTTTTCTGCTGCTGCTTTCTGCTGCAATAGGTGGTCTTCGTGACCCATTGGAAGTTTTCATTTTGTGACCTTTCTTACAATTAAGCTTTAATTTAACAAAACAAAACCAGCCTTCACACTGATGAGCAGTTCCCTTCCTCAGCTTTGTTCAAATCCTTGTAAAGTCTGCTATTACTATTCTACAAGAAACAGAACTTTTTTGTTTGCCTCAGAGAACATGTGATTACAATTAATTTTGATGGCAAGACACTGTATTAGGACCGCACAAGACCACCAGGCTCAGTACTTCAAGGAAACATTGCTTAGGATTTAAAAGTAGCCCACAGTCTCCCATGCCTGCAGTACAAGAATGCCAGAAAAAGAGGGGAGGGGTGCAGAGGAAAGCCATCCTAACCCATGGACCTTTAGGGCCTAGCAGAACCTGGGCATCAATAGCTACACTGTTCACTTATTTTCTTCACATACTTGCACCTGCAAATATACATCAGTAAGGAATTTCCTTTCAATAAATTCTTAATTAAAAATGGGGAAAAAAAACCCCACTAAAGCCCTGAAACTCGCAGCATGCTACAAAGCCACAGACCTGAGGTCAGTTACTGTGTCATAAGCATACCTGGTGACTAGGTGACGTAGTCTTAGGAGCAGGATCCCTTTAGTAGGTTCCATCCAGCGCAGGCATCCTCCTTCAGTCTTTGTGCCAAGTTCATGTCCCAGCGTAAAGCTTTATTTTACTGTTGGTCCCCTTCAGTCTCACAGGAGCATATTCAAAATGCAACCATCCATGTACTTACATTCTCTCCATTATCAGTGCCAGCAGATGCCAGCAGTACTAAGCACCTCTGTGTCAGCCAACACCAAGTTCCCTACCTCAAAGACTTCATGGAATTACAGAACACCCATCACAGCAAATGGGCTGTGCTCCTCTGGAACGAAGGCGACTTTCTTACTGAAATCCCAACTGCCAGTTATCTATGCAAGGAGAAGAGTCCTCTTGTAGGCAAGCTCAGACAAAAACATTTTCAGAGGTAGAGGTAAAGCAGCAGAGGTACAAAACTTTGCCCTGCTCTCTTTCTGTAGCACCAGAGACAAAGAAATAGCATTATCAACCTAACGCAGAGATAGGAGCCTTCTCCTTATCACTGGTAAAAAAAACCTTCTGGAAAGTCACTAGTGGGCTATGGAGCAACACACATTTGAGGTACCTGAATACCAAAGCAAAACACAAGAAAAAAATTTACATGGCTTTCAACTGTACAAAATGAAGTCACAGCAGTATCAAGCCCTGCAGCAAAAGTTCCACATGGCCAATCTAAGTGCTGCATAAAGCACCCAAAAAAAGAAGTGTCCAGCAATCTGATATTCAGTCGTCTTGATTCCAACACCTGGCATACTTGCCCTTTGTTCTCCAATAGCAGTCATTGTTGAAGGCTTTGCTGTTCGCATGGAGGATCAATCGTAGTGAAATGCTGATGTCTGTCTTACATCAAGCATTTTAGCTGGAAGCCACCAGAATTTTTAGTGGTTGGTCTGCTGGCCTCTTGAACTTTACATCATGCTTTCATGAAAAATGAAATCCTTTGAGTGGAAGATGGTCAATATTTCTAACCAAAACCAGTATGTGTAGATCTCCAAAGACATAACAACTGATTAATAAAGCACTGAACAAAGAGGAAATGCACAATGGTAAACAGAAAATTAACAATTAGCACTTTTTCCACATACCAGGTGGTCTGCACATACATTCTCTTCAGCAATCAACAGACAGCCCCCCCAAAAAACAGAAGATGTTTTATTGTCTAAATTGTTGCAATACAACAAATACATGATCTGTACAAAGGACACAATAAAGCAAGTTTAAATACAAACAGGAGAAAGAAGCTCCCATATTCACAGTCCTCAGACATCTTACACCAGAACCTGAAACAACAGTTTAAAGATTCACTAGAAAAACCCCCAAACAAGTTTTAAAAAGTGTAAAGATATTGTCTTACAGCAGAGATCATGGGGTATTCTGTGAAGGGTCACAATGGCATCTTATTGCCCTCAATGCTGATTTTCACGGCATGGGCCGATCTGCTTTTTTTCCTGATATCTGTGAATTTCCGCATCTGTTTGTCCAGTCGACTCACCCCTTTCTTAGAGGTCCCCTGGAACTTAAAAAATAAAACTAATAATTACCACTGAAAAAAAGCAGACGTCCCAGAGGTTCAAGAAAAGCGATGCATGCAAGGTTAAACCTGCAAGAGGGAGCTGATGAAGCCACTGGTCCCAACTGGCTGTGCATGTGTGTGCCCACATTCTCTCCCTGCAAAGTGGATAAAATGGTTCCCCCAATATATTCATTGCATATATGGAGGCAGTCGTGCTCACAAACATCACACAGTAAAGCTTTCACATTACAGGGATTAATAACCGTGTTAGCTGTTCACATACCAGCTGAATATACAGTTTGGAATAGCTTTGTACCTACATTGGCTGGAGGTTAGTGTCAGAAATATGCTGCACTGTGGTGTCATACATACAGGCTTGCTGTGGGGGGAAGATTTTTAGATACAAATACACAGTAACTGAGGGGGACTGAGGTGACATATAAATTCCAAACTGCAATTTATTTTAAAGGTCACCGATTAGTACTTCTAAAGCAAGAGATTATTGGGAAAAGGGGGGGTGTAGGAGGAATCAAAAGAAATGCCTAAGCTGACCATAACCAGAAGAGTTACTGCATTTCATCTCTGTATTGCAACTGCAAATGAAAAACTGGGTGACACAGCAGTTATTTTGCACAAATTAAAGATAGTTGTTCTGTGAAGAAACGCCACTGAAGACAAAAACAGCAAGGACCTTCCAATCCATAGCCATTACTTCCTGGAAAGCAATTTCCCCTAACTAGACAACAGAAACAATAAATGATGGAAATTTCACACCTTTTGAGAGAAACAGAGATATCCAGAACATGCTACTTAATATCTCACCAAAAAAATAAATCTATTAGAAACAACCTCTTGTTCCCATCACTGAGGAAGGTGCTTCTGACACACTGATTTTAAATAAATAAAACTGTTCATTATTCACTGAAATTATATCTGGAACTTCACAGTGATTTGTAAAAAATATTTTAAAAAAAAACCCAAATAAATATGAAGCTTAAACTCAACAGGTATCTATCATTTGTGCTAGCCTCTTCCTGTCACTATTAGTTTGTAGCTGCCCTGCTCACAGAACTGAAATGCAGACTAGAAATTGTCAAAACAGTTCCCACATTGATGCATGTCATTGACTGATCGCCCTTCACCTGGCATTCACAGCAGGGGATTCCTCTCCCCCCCAGTCTGCAGAGGTTTCATTCTCTGCCTCCTGCCAGCTACCCCTCAAGTCTCACATCACTCAACTTCCTTGAAAAAGCAGGTGTGAAAAATACATTACTTTGGACCAGTAAAACATCAGCCACAAATGCTGGTATACAGTGACATGAGGTCCTATACTAAGGGCTAAGAATTCCTGTGGGTCAGTTCAGGTAAACCTAGAGAACCTAATTCTGTCAGAAGAGCATTCAAAACCACAGGTGGTGCAAAGCTATTTTTGAGTGCAAGTATCTTCATTTAATACCTGTCATTTGGGTACCCTGAAGCTGCTGAGGCAGGTATCGTGGCAGATGTTATGTGCTGCAGCCTGTTTTTTCCTGTACAAGTTACCTTTTAGGTCACAGTACAGACATTAGAGAATACGAGGAGAGTTTTCCAAGTTTAAGTTAGGGTGTACACACTCCTTTCCTGTACGTGTAAACTGCCAACAGCTGAAGCACATGCACTGTTCACACCTCCCTTGAGGGATACCTCTCAAACTTGGGGAAGGCAGAGTGTCATGGCTACAGGGGCATCCTGTTGCCTTCAATGCTGAACTTGATGGCCCGATGCACTTTGCTGAGTCGTTTCTGTTCAGCAAACCGTCTCTTGTGTTTTTCCAAGCGACTAATACCTCTCTTAATAGTCCCGGGCTAGAAACAATATCTCAATTAATGCACAGAAGGAGAGATAACAGCAGAAAGCACAGTAATTATTACTTCTTCCATTCACATGTGTTTTACCATGTACTCTGCTTTCAAATTAAATTGTACAAGGCAGATGGATGAACCAAATAAAGGAAGGTAAAGGCCTCTACTGAAACTGTTAATGTATACCAAAACCCAGAAGTTTTCCCAAACTGGAATATTATCAGAAGAACACGATACAAAAATTGGGAGAGGTATAAAAATAAGAGGCCTGTAATCAGATTCTCACCCTAAAGAGAAACTGGAAGTTAACACAAAAACCTCTTTTTGGTAAGAGAAGCAACAATACCCAAGTGAAAGTATTTGATGAGCTTCAAACAGATAGCAGAACTTACTGTCTACTCAAATTAGTAGAGGCACTTAAAAGAACTACCATATTGTACAGTAATGACAGGAATAAGGTGACAGATCCTCAGGCTTAATCCAAGACAGCTCAGGCACAGAGTCACTAGGAGAGGCTAAGCTATCCCCACATGGCAGTGCTTACCCTGGAGGACTCCATCTCCACATTCCACTTTGGCCTGACCACATAGTCCTTGTTGGAGGGCATTGGCACCCTCGCACGGGCACAGAACCCGGGGTCTCCGGGTCTAAGAGCCCTGCAGAAAAAGAGATGTGATTGCTAGAGACAAATCTTACACAGAAGGAAGTACAAGCATGTTCTACCTCTGAAACACACTGCATGACCATTGCCTCTAAAACCTCCAAACAAAATGCATCGTGTTAGTACCACTGAAACACTTTTTTCTAACCAAATTTTTTTTCAAAAATCCAACCTACTTTTCCTCTCCAGTTAACACTTTCTCCAGGTCCCTGCGGGGAGTCTGACCACCACAGCTGCAAGAAAAAAAAACAACCTTATAGGTAGCTAGCACAGAGAAAGACAGTAATTTTAAAAGAAAGTCAAGTGTGGTAAAAGAAAAAAGAGGTCATAACTCATTATCCTTTTATTTCCCTTAATATTAAACACACCACTTTGCTTTTCTTGATGGAGTCTTGGAAAGAAAGGATTTAATGTTTCTGCCTGCTGCTCCTACCTGCTCAATCTCCTTCGCTGAGGCATCTGTTCCAAATCTCTCTGTTCCCTCTCTTCTCTTGTCATGCCTTTGTAGTTTGAGGTAAGGCCAAAGATGGGTCGAGACCATTCATCTATTAAAAAAATTTAAAAATATTGGTTAATGAACACTAGGCCTCTGAATTTTATCTCCAGACCATTCCTGTGACCAAATACAGCTTTCAAAGTTCATGGCAAGTATTTATGCCAAATTATTTTTGAGCTCTTAATATTTTAGGGAAATCCAGCCTTGTGGACAGTAAGAAAGAGCTTTCACCCATGAAGTCTCCTGCTGGTGCCTGCTCTTTTACAATCTGCTCTTAGAATATTTAGTGTCAGGAACTCCTGCATGCCACAGTGAATATTATTGTAGAAATACGCAAAATAGTTCCTAAAGAATAAACAAGTTTATAATCAAGTTTGAGTCACTCAGAATGGAATGTACTACAGCTGTTTAAGAAGTAACCTTTCAGACACCATCTAAGATCTCTCTGAAGTCCATGGACTGTATTCTGGCAGCACCTTCCTGCCTTTGTAGCACATACATGAGGTCTGGACAATCAGCCAAGAGAGAATTTGGGCAAAATAAATGCCATCCTCTGGCTTAGAACAAGAATGAAAGAAACAGGAAAAGGTGCATTCAGGAATTAATGTAACAGCATTTGTTAAGAGCTCTACAAACAAAACGATGAAACAGATTAGTGAGATTACTACTTTGCAGAGTTAATTCTACTACAGAAGATAGCAAAAAAACAAGCAACAGAATGACCGATGCAGAAATTAAATTATCAGTGAAATCTCACTGATGCAAGGCAAAGGGAGGTTTACATACTGATTAGCTTCCCCGCCATATCCTTGTTAGGTCTCGACTCTTTGGGGTGTTTGTAAAGGTACATCACAGCTCGTCCAATGCCACTGTGCTTCAGGGTCTCCTGGCTCACGCTGGGCAGCTGCAGGGTAAAAGAAAAGTCAGAAAACAGCAAGAAGTTATGTTTGCACATTAATGTTGTCACTGAACTTTGCAAAACCCCAAAACCTACCTTCACAATAATCTTGGAAAAAAATACTATTTTTCATTGTCCCACTACAAATCAGTTAAAAGTATCAAACACCAAAACCTAGGAATTTAACATTCTTGGATTTTATACACAAAATTAACTAAGTTTCCAGAACTAATTACTACAAATGCTCTTTTGCTTATATTACTCCAGAATGGAGTTACTGCCTTCAAAGCATTCATTTATAAAGATAAAAATTTACAAGGCAAAACCATTCAAGCAATCATCTTAGCTACAAATGCTAAAAAGCCTACACTGAGCACGACGGGCTTCCTAGTGCACTGCACACTTCAGTAGGCTAGAAAATTCTGAGACCCACCAGAGAGCGAAACAGGGATACATAGCAAATGACTCTTCACTGCACCAACAAACAAACAGCTAGTCCAATACAGAGAACTAGGCACTTTGTGTATAAACCTGAAACAGGCAGGCTGGGCCGAATAATCTAAATTGAGGCAGAACTCTTGCAAAATTTTAGCAAGGAGAAATATTTCCAGAGCTTCAATCAATAAAGCCAGCTAGTAGTGCTGCAAGACAAATTTCACTTCTACTTCACTATCAGGACTACACCACACTCATTTTATGAATGCAGCAAAGACAAATTTAAGTGACCAGTCACAACATCTGAGCCACTGAGAACAAGGGACAATAAGTGACTAAGCAGTTTAGATTTATCAAGAATCTAGAAATGCCATAGCATGTAACCCTGAAAGAGGGTACAGAACTTTGTATGTGTAGTTCACCTGAGACTCTCCGGAACATCTTCTGGCCTGCTACTAGCAGAGCTATTCGCTTTGCTGTGAACACGGGCAAAATTTTTGTAACAACAATTAAGTTCCCTAGACAAATTTTGTTCAGCTTAGCAGAACACCCACACTATAAGAAAGATTCATTAAAATGATGCAACTTTTAAACAAACACATCTATTTTTCAGTTTGCTTCCTTCTGTATTTCACTGCACAGCCCATTGGTAGCAGCTACAGTACATTTACTACAGACATTTCCCTAAAGCATGCGATTGTAAAACCATGGAGATGCCACAAATCAAATATGGTTAAAAGTCAGTTTCAAACCTCTTGCAGGATCTTCAGAAGCTCCTCTCGTATCTTTAGCGCTGGCAGACTTCGGTCTGGAAGAGGAGAAAGCCACTCTTTGATGGCAGACATAACACCACTATCAATGAAAGTTTCTTTGAGGTCCTGCCTGGAAAGTTTAAAGTAAAGAGAAGCCACAAAGTCATATAATACATCAAAATCTTAAGGTATGATGTTCCTTCAGCACAACAGTGCATTTGAGTTTGTTTCATGTAAATTAACAGGTAAAACTAGGTAGAATTTTAGGTTTTTGAGGCCACCTAGCTCCAGCATTTACTTAGAAGAAAGAAGAGTGTTTCACTGCATGCTCAGTACAACTGTAATGTCACTCCATTAAATCTCTCAAATTCTAAATACTCCCCAAGATTATATTAACTGGGAGGATGACAACTCACTTTTTAAGATGCATAACTACAGTTGGTAACAAAGTTAATTTCTTTAGTGCTGGTTTCTTTTGTGTATTCAGCTGTCGATCCTCCTGTAGGGAGTTGAAGAAATGCAAGTTAATCAAAAGAAGAAATCATCAACTTTCATCCCTTACAACATTTACAGGAAAAAGATTAGTCTATTAAATGAGAAGTGTAACTTTGGAAGGATTACACTAACTTTGTACCCTGCTCCATCTTCTTACAGCCCCAAAACACACTATATGATGACTTCTCTTAAAAAAGGGTCCCCACCTTAGCCAACATTTTCCTTACAAGTATCACATTAGGAGATCCCCTCCAAAATTACATATTTTTCTACTTCGTGATTAAGGTCTATTGCAATAAACTGGAGGTCTGCAGAGTCCTCCGTGCTAACTGTGCATAGATAACCTATAAACTTTGTTAGTGAAATCTCACCTGAACAACAGAAAAATAGCTAACCAAAACAATGAGAAGTGAGAATATGTATATTCATTCCACCCAAGAACATAACTGGATAACCCAGAGGTTTACAATAAAGCATGGTGTAATTAACATAAGAGCACACAAATCTGCACCATGTGCTAAAAAAAAAAAAAAGGCTGTGTTTCAAAGTGTCTACCATCCAAGGACATAATGTCACTATCTGTTCAGTATTTGGGCTCCCCTATCAAAAATACCCATTATAATCAGCAGATTCATGTCCTGCTGTAGTAAATCTTTTCCACTCATCTTAATCCACTGAGTTTTTTTATTGCAAAGGAGATCGTTCTAATGCCCTTCTGCCCCTCTTCACACTCCAGAATGGTTTGACAGGCACGTGGTAGAGACCTAAAGACACCACAGTAATGGAGCTCAGCTCTTTCTTCATTCCACTGTTTCAAACTTTATGGCTCCATCTGACACAACTGGCAATCATTTCAAAGACCAAGAAAAATCTCAGTTGTCTCCCAGATCATTCTTCCCTTCCTCCCCAACACATTCTCCTTATCTTGTTCTCAGGAAGACTATGTTGTTGTTGCTTGTAAGATTCCTCTTTCTAAAGTTCCCTGTATATTCCCCAACTGGTTTTAATGAGTTTTGCAGTGCTGTTCATTGATTTGATTGCTACTGCAACAAAACTACAGTCACAACAGAAGACACCTGACAAAAGGCAAGACCCCAATAAACCTTGCACAGTAACGTATTAAACATGACTCTGAAAAAGGCAGTCTGCCAAGGCAGAACTTCCCATAATTCTGTCGCTCTACCATCACTTACCACAGTATTGTCACTCAAACAGTTTAGAAACGGGTTTCTCTCAGGATGAAACACTGAAGTACTACATATGCTAGCAATCATATGAAATTAAAACACAGTCCCTTTTTCAGTGTTTGATACACTTATTCATATATTTTATAGAACACATATTCATCCTTTTCATAGGACAGTTGACCTCAGCTGATCAAAGTTTACCAAGTCAACTAATTCTAATCTTTAAAATGAATAAATATTTTCTCCAAATTTTAACAGAATAAATGTTTTCAATTCAGAATAGCAAAGTATCATTAAACAGTTATTTAGATACTGGAAGCTCTCCATAGTGTACTGTTTACTCCTCCTAAGTACCAGCCAGATTTCTGTATTTTACTGATCACATTTTCCCACAGAATGGAACTGGATTTTAAGGTGTCTCTAGAGCCTAGAAAACTCACCTCAGCAGCTTCATTCATCTTCACAATCATAGCACTGACCACATCATCTGCATCACTAATAAAAGTTCCACCATCACGGTTTCGTCGACGCTTGCCACTCATACTCTTCTTTCGTTGTAGCATCATGTCAAAATCTGACATGAAGTCCATGCTGAAATGCAAGAAGAGTTTGCTGATGGTCAAAGGAGGGCTGATCTTGCTGTCTTTCTAGGAAATAATTTTGTATTTCTGTAGCATTGCCTTTCAAAAAAATCTCCAATAAATCTACAAGCATTATGCTTCAGCGTCCCTGTAAGAGAATTAGTTACCCTCAGCACGCAAACTGGGAAGCTAGCAAAGGTTTCAGTGGCTCCGAGATGCCTTTAGAAGTCTACAAGACCTTGCTGAAATAGCTAACGACATGCACACATTTAATATCCAGGGTTTAAAATGTGCTAAAGCTGTCACTGAAGCTGGCAAGGATTTTGCTTTCGTACAGGAAATGTATGAAATACACTGCAATACACTGCTCTGATGCTACTGCAGCAGACAGAAAGGAAACAGGAGAAACAGGAGACGTGCTGATGGCAAGTCTTGCCATACCTTATCCCTTACACCAGCAGAGAAACACATCTGTGACTCCAATGCTGAACTGCTAAAAGTACAGTTACATGTTTGGTTAGATATTAATTTCACTTAGGTTTTGATGCAAACCATGAAATACTGTTCTTTGAAGCAGCACAGGTAATCTGCTACAGGCTGCCAAGTGACTAAACTGTACAAGCTGAGAGAAGACCTTCTGTTGCTGTTTCTGAGAACAAACTTTCCGTAGAAACATAGTCCTTTGCCTTTGCAAACCAAGAAGTCTATTAAGTCTTTGGAGGAGCCCTTTCACTAAAATCTTGCACTTGCTACTAACAAAGCAGTATGTAACACATTGACTTACTGCTTCCCTCTTTTGATGTTATCATCAGAGTCTGATTCATCTGCTGTCTCCTTCATGTCTGCATCACCTTTTTCTTCCTCCAAATCTTCCTGGTTAAAACCCTGATGGGTAAAGACAGTGGAAATCAGTGTATGGATTAAGACTGAGCATTACTCAGGCACCTGACACCAACATTCGAAAAGCTTCAAATAAATCTACAGAGGATGTAGAAGAAAGAGGAACAAAGGCTTCCTAATTCCACCTGTGATTTTCACACTAGTAACTCTCCCAACAGAAGAGCTATAAATGTTATTTAACCCAAAGACCACCTCAGTGAGTCCAGCAGATACAAAGCTTCCCTCCTGATACAGATATCCTTGAACACGAGTTCAAACCCGAGCAGTCATTCTGGAATACCTTCCCATGAAGATTAGATCTAGCAAGTGAACAAGAGACATCCACAATAACACTTACTGTAAATTCCTCTTCTTCCTCATCACCAGATTCTCCAAATATATCTGCAATGAGGTTCCTGTGAAGGTAAAAGTAACATTTATCTATTTAGACTGCAACAGTGAGAAGTGCATTTTCTGCAAAATTTCTATGGACTGTGTGGAGAGGCACCTTTCATTCTGCCACCTACTACTGACCTTCCTCTTCACACCACCAATGAAGGTGCACAACCATTCTCTGCCTGGGATTCATCCATTCTCTATTTACGGTCAGTCTCACTATCTGCAACCCTGAAAGAATTCAAATTCCCGGAAGCACTTACTCTTGTTCATTTCCAGATTCACTATCACTGCCAAACAGATCTTTCTCTTCTTTATTCTTCCCAGCATTCTCTTTTCTTTCTTCTTCTTCCTCACTATCTGATACAATACTTTTCTTCCTTTTGTCGGATTTCTCGGAAGCAGCATCACTATCTGATTCTTCGACATCAGAGAGGATTCGTACTTTTTTGGCAGCTGCCAACAGAAAGGAGAATTACTACATGTCCTAGTAACAGAGGTGACAACGGGTACTCTCAAAAAACTATTATCTCAAATTTTATTTGGACAAGAGAGAAGCTGGCTAGCCTTCCTACACAAAATCATTGCCATTTCTTAAAAAAACATATCCATTCTAAAATCTGTTTTATTCAATCAGTAACTGAAGTTTCCATAAACCACATCTATCCATAAAAACTTGTCATTTCAAAAATGACTCTCACCCCTAGTATATGAAAAAAAACTAGAGGAAAAAATTACTAGAGAAATAACAACAAAGTAGAGAAATGACTAACAGGAATAATGTACATGACAACAGATGCCAGTATACAGCAAGATCACTGCAGTCTTTTCTTTTACTTCTACTAGACCTACTTATTACTCAAAAGTGTTAGATATACACTCACAAAGAAACGCAGTTAGAACAATAGCCACTACAAACACAGTTGTGCTCTAAAAACAAATTTGCTTTATGGTTTCATATTTACCTTAGATGCTTTCTTCACATAAAAACAATGATTTACCTCTAACACTACTGCTTGTCACATCAATTTTTATTTTCACACTATAGTTCCTTACGTGTTTTCTCACTGTCATCCTCACTGTCCGAAAGGATAGCCGTTTTCCTCTTCATTGTCTTCTCCTCCTCTTTCTCTTCTTCTTCACTGTCCGATATTTTTCGTCTCTTAGGAGCTTCCTCTTCACTGTCAGAGCCCTGAAATCCTTCCCTTACACGTTTATTATCTGAATGATGAGAATCATTCTGCACCTCCTCCTTCCTGTCCTCCCCATCACTATCCTCAGACTCTATTTCTTGTTTGTGTCTAGAAACATCCTCACTCTCCGAGTCGCTGGCTGGCTGTTTGCGGTGTTCCTCGCTCTCCGAGTCGCTGGCTGGCTGCTTGTGGAGCATTTCACTTTCCGAATCACTGGCTGGCTGCTTGTGGAGCTCCTCACTCTCTGAGTCACTGCCCAGCTGCTTCTGTGATTCTTCATTTTCAAAATCACTACTGTGGTCTCTGTGAGGTTCTCCATTTTCAGAGTCACTTGCTCGATGATTTAAGGCATCTTCATTTTCAGAGTCACTTAAATGCCGATTTGGACGGTCCTCCATATCAGAATCACTGTCTTTCCCTCCATGTGCTGCTTCATTGTCTGAATCACTGACATTGTGATTTGGAGGCTCCTCATTATCCGAGTCACTGTCTTTTTGTCTTGGGATATCTTCATTTTCAGAGTCTGTCATATGAGATTCTCCCATTTGCCCATCATCTTCTCCATCACTGTGTTCATTCTGAAAGAGAAAAATAATCTCAGGCAACTAAGCAAAAAAAAACACAAACCAAAACTTAAAAAGTAAACAAAAAGTGTTCTGAATTTTTGCTTGTCCTTCCTCCAATTTGATTACCCAATGTACTGCAAACTGAAATACTTTCTATACAGAAATAATTATTAGACAATCTGCATCAAAGGACTAACAAATACTTCAGATCAAGAAAAATATTAAGAGATCAATGGAAGTCTGTCCACACTGCAGCTCAATCATATTTTGGAAATAGTAACAATTTAAAAAACACTCAAACATGTCTAAGAAGGGTCCAGTTGCTCGACAGTAAATGCTTAGTGCTCCTATTTTAAAAAGTCAGGCCTTCAAAGTGTTTTAGTCCAAATCCCTAGAAAAATGGCAAGAAACAGTATCTCACACTTGTAATTTTATTTTTCTTAAGATCTCAAACGTATTTTTTTCGTATGAAATATATTTTACCAAAATGGCACACGCATTACTTTCCAAGTGAAGCTCAAGAGAGCTTGTGCACTTTCCTTTTATGCCAAGGGACCTTAGTTAAGAACAAGTCAAGACCAAAAGCCTGCCAAAAAACAGGAATAAAGTTTTAACAATAATACTCTGAAAGGTCTATCTAAAAGTTTTGAGTTTCAATGTGCAAGAACTGCATTTCACTGTGTAAGAATGTAAGAACAGATTCAACGCTTCTCTCCCTTAATCTGATAGCTCCCATGCCTATCCAGACACCTGAAACAACCTACACACAAATACACTAATTTTCTTAAAACTTTAGAACTGAAACACAATCTTTTATGTCTTTTTCCACATGGCAAAAAATACTGAGCCACATACTCCACTTTTGGAAAAACATTTCACAAGCCACCTGTCAATATGATTACTGACAGCATCTTGTTCTATCTTTCCTACAACATCTAATTTCTACTTGGAAAAAAAAAATCTCCATTGCATTTACTTGAGAAAACAAAACTTCTCTTGAACACTCATTTCATTAACTCAGTACACCTCTCACAGTAACCGTCACAATAATTCCCATCTTCAGCAACACTGTAAAAGGTATTCCTTTCTACATACTCAGCTCCACTCTTCAACCAGACTTTCCTCAGGGGCGACATTGTCTCAGCTAGACTCCTTCCACTAGCATATTTGCAAACTGAGTATTTCTCATCCTAGGAGCTTCCAAATCTTTTCTGCCAGCAATTTAATTTCCTTGGAAAGACACACTTTCTATCTATTTTTATTTTCTGTAGTCATTCTATTGCCACATTCAGAGCCATACACAATAATGCAGGTGTATCTATCTAGTATCTAGTAGTTCCTAATTGCTTTTAGGAACTACTCACTCCAGAATTACACTAAGTGGTAAATAACACTGCTTTAATAAGATGTTTTGACCTTGTGCATTTATTCCCTTGCCTAGCACTCAGTAAAATAATAACTTCTAAATTACTGCAGAATCACTAACAGAAAGTTACCGCACAATGGAAAAAAAACAGGCCTATTTAATTTTAAAGCATACACTTCAAATTCAACTTCACTATTTCCATGTTACTTAATGCTAGCTACAAAACAGCTGCTGTGATAATCTGAGTGAGCAGTTTTCTCTCTACTGCTTGTCCCTGTCTCTACAGTGAGGCTAGTCTTTTCAGTCATGCTGGTGGTATTATTCAGTATTTCCCATTTCTCCTTACAGAAAGGAAACATGGTTCTGTTAAAACCTGAATTTGGAATTTTAAAGAATTAAATACGAAGATTAAGAAGTTACAGAATTGAGGATGCACGGCTGAGGAAGACCATACACACACTCAACTGCTCTCAGGTTTTTTACATGATTTTATTTACTTCTCTTTTTTCTTACCAAAAAATTACTTTGATTGCTTGCCCTCTCCTGTCCAGTTCTCCCACATAACAAGCTAACAACACGTATGTGATGTATTTTCCTGACTGTATTTTCTAAGATTAAAGATAACAACAGCTGCAACACAGATTTCACAGCAGCATTACAGGTAAGGTCATTGAGAAGGACTGAAATGCAGATGTCTATATTGAAATTCATGTTTATAATAATAGGAATTCTTTAATCCTTAGTTTCCTACCATTTAATTTTTGTTGAGTTTGACTGATTTCAGATGGCTAATGCTGTATAGGTACTGATAATTATGTCAGCAGTAGTAAGGGATTTTGCTAAACAAAACCAAGGAAAACAATACAAATACTCCTGTTTAAATGATGAGGTTCATCATGTTCCTGACTGCCAGTCTAGAAAGTCCTTGGTGAACAAGTAAACAAAACTAAAAAAACAACTGGAATCCATAAAAGACTCTTCTAAGGTCAGAAGCATGCCTGCAGGCTATATACCCACCTATTCAGAATCTATTACTAAATTACAAGGAACCTCCTATGCAAAACACTTGGTAAGAAGTCATTACAATTATACAGCGTTACTACACTGTACAATATATTGAGTCTCTAACCTGTTACTGCAAACTGACAATCACTCTTGAGAGTGAAGATGTTTGGGGAGGGGGAGCAGATACGCATCCTAATTAGCTCACCCTGTGATTACACAGTGCTCTGCACCACAGAATCCCAGTGGTTACAGCAACTGAACTCTACTATGACATGAACACCTACTGAAGAGCTACTACTATAGGTGCCCCTACACAGACTGGGCAGACAGACACCATCTGCTCCGGTCCCAAGTCTGGAAAGCACAACCAGAGCTAACCCAAAACCCACACAGTTGTATCGGTCAAGTCAGTAAGCCCAGCAGAGAGATGATGGACACTACCTCAGACTCCGCACACAACCGAGCATCTTCTAAAGCAGAGCTGAGACAGAGGTGACTCACTCAGAGACTGCACAGAACAGCCAGGTCCCATGCACAGCTATCAGTGCAAAGGTCTTCTCAACACAATTAGTGAATCTGTTGTTTGGAAATACACTTGATATAAAAAGTGCATGCAACTTCACAGTAAGATGATGAACTGTAAGATAGTCTCCCCTTCACCTTTTTTTTTACTAGTTCGTCTCTAAAAAGATGTTTTCAAACAAATCAAGTATGTTATTTTGGAGTTTTCTGGTTTTCCTTTTCCAAACACTTAATTAAAAGATCAGACATCCTCAAAAACAAGTAGGTCTCAGGTAATTGTTACTGCATTTTTTTCTCAAATTCCTTTGCTTTCTTTTCTTCCTCCTCTTTATCTATAAATATTTTGAGATGTCCTTAATTTTTTTAAATGGAAAGAATTCTATAACATGAGGCTTTAGTACAGTATAAAATAAGGAATACATCAAAATCAAATTTACAGTGTTATCCTTCTACATAAACATTTCAGTTAGCAAAGTAGTTTATTGGATCAACATGCAGCCACTTTTAAGAGGTACTACTTCGACAATTTAGGAAGTTCAAAAAAATTGACCCATCCACTACAATCTCAGACAATTGTTAAACTAAACCATACATAACCATCATAGGCAGATCAGCAAGTTTCTTTTTTTCAGAAATGCAAGATATTTGTATATGTTTGTTAACAGTCACAGTCAAACCATAACTTAATTCATAAAGACAGCAGCAGCTTGGTGAAAGTGTAAGGATCTAAGTCTTCAAAGATTTCCATATGAGCCTGACTTGTACAAACACTGTAAACATGATTTCATATTCATTACTGTACTAAAACTATGTGTTATCTAATTCTATTTGTCTAAAACAGAATTGTAAGGACATCAAGGAGAACATTTATAGATAAAGTGGGATCGGGGGAAGGAAAGCCAGAAAAGAATTGTGGAAAAGAAAAACCCACATACCTGAGACCTACAAAAGTAATTCCTCAGGGTTCCCCTTTTCTTTAAAGTTAAGAACCTGAAAAAAAAGTTTGAAAGTTTAAAACTTCAGTTCTTTACATCCAACTTCTAAATTAGAGACGAAATAGTAATTAAAAAGACTTAACTGATTAGGCTGTCTCAAAGGTTTTATTACCTTTGAGTGTCATTCCTCCCACATATTCCTAAAGATGAAGGAAATAAGAGGATGAGAAAATATTTAGGGTAAATAATATGATAAATCACTGAAAGCTACTCCTTTCAGAAACAGCTGCTCCCCATTATTGCATTTTGAGTTGCGCTTTGAATCTGATGTAGGGAACTAACAATGTAAGACTTCACAACAAAAAAACCCCAAATCCTCAAACGTTTACAATTTGAACTGAATCAAATAAAGCACTAAGGCTTGAAGGTTCACATTTACTATTGGACAGAAAGGTGGTTTACTTCTCCTTTTTTTTTTTTAATGGACTTTCTGAGGAATATTCAACACCCATCACAGAACAAAGCCCTTAAAATAACGCAGGCACACAAAAAGGATCAGTTAACAATCATAATAGCATTTTCTGGTTATTTAAATCTGAACAAGACATGCTGAAAATGTAAGAAATAGTCGACTACCTGTTCTATACACCAGATTTCCAACTCCTTTGCCAAAGTAAAATTAAAATCCCACGGAAGTATAGAATAGTAAGAACAGATGACCAAGTTTTCATACACAGCAAAAAAAGCTTAATATTATTGCAGCAGCAACATAACTCTCCATGCACTCATCACCATAATTTTTCTCATTAAAACAGAAGTACTAAATCCCTTTGAAAGACAATTACTTCTCCCATGCTGAAACACATATTTTCTCCCACACTGAAATCCTGGTTGTCACAATAAGAGATGCTGCCTCGCACCAAATCAGCTTCTTCCATTGTAAATATCAACTCCTTTAAAAAAAAAAAAAAGAAAGAAATTCCAAATCTGCTTTCCACTCAAATTCAAATACATGGGAAGAACTTTCATTTCATACAAATAGAAAAATCTTCATTTACTTTCTGTCTCTGAGGGAAGTATGAATTCAATAAAGGGATGGAAGAAAAAAAAAAGATTGCAAGTTATACTAGGGCAGAGTTGAGCCTTTTGAC